AGTGCAAGGGTTCCTAAAGGCCCCCTTGGCACCACATATTAGATGTCTTACAAACTCTCGTGCCCCTGACCCAGAGATGTCACTTCAAGACGTCCTTGAGAACCTTTTTATCCATCATGAGAATACACTGCATATACACTTTTCCCTAAATCCCCTACCGTTGGACAGTTAGGTTTCTCTCCTTCTTCCCCATCGTTTTCTGGTAAGCAAGAAAAGTCACATACACCAGTACAGGACCGTGTGCGGATCTGTCCGGAAGAAAACAGAATCAAAGTAAGTACTGACTCTCTGTCGGGGGTATGATCATTTTTGCTTTATACGTTTTAATGTTCCCTGGTTTTTAAAATAAAAATGAACACAAAAGCTATCCATTACCTCCAGCCTAAGCTATAATTTTGAAAATGGGTTAGCAATTAATAAGTGGGAAAGTGAACTAAATAGACACTAAAGAAGAAATACGAATGACCAACTAAGATATAAAAAATAATTCAGCATCATTCGCAGTTAGGGAAATGCAAATCAAAACCACCCTGAGATGTCATCTCACTCGGGTTGGGACGGCGGCCATCAAGAACACAAACACGGAAATCCGTAAAAGGCGCCTCAGAAGACTAGGTTGGAACCACCCTGCGACCCAGCTCCACCACTCCTCGGATAAGTGTCCTGAAGAATGAGAGTCAGCGCCCGGCAGGGACACATGCACACCATGTCACAGCAGCACGATTCACAGCAGCCACCCTGAGGAACCAGCCCAGGTGCCCACCAGTGGGTGGATGGATGAAGAAACTGTGGTGTGCACCCAGTGGAGTATTATTCAGCCAGGAAGAAGAACAAAGCTATGTCATTGGCAGGAAAATGGATGGAACCAGAGACCATCCTATAAAGCAAAATCACCCAGATTCAGAAAGTTAAGGATCATATGTCTTTTTGTCTCCCCTGTAGAAGCTAGAGAGGAGAGGAACGGAACCAGGGCCGGGGGAGGGCATGGAGGAGCGACCTGGTCAAATTATATTGTTCCATTTCAGCCCACGCCACACCGCGACAACCAATCCCATCAGGGACAAGTATAACGAACCAGTAAAAAAGAAATAAAATCACATGCCCCCACAAAGACTTGCACTGGAAAAAACAAAATAAAATCTTAAAGAAGAATAAAATAAAATGGCTTAGAAGCGCTGGGGTTGCTGGGATGATGAAAACCCAGCTCTGCCATCCAGAAACTGCCGCACGCTCAGCAACGACACATTCCCACGGGGCCCTGCGCGGGATGGTAGCTTGGGCTAAAATCCTGGCTTAAAAAAGGGCTCTTGGTCTCACTGTTTTGAATGCACCCTTGGAGGCCGATTCTGGATAGCTCCCAGGACCTTCCGCAGCAGGTGGACTTCCGGTTCTGGGTCTGCCATGTGCAACTGGCCAGAGATTCCCTGGGAGCGGGGTGGGAGGATCTCTTCCCGGGGACTGACCAAGTGGACATTCCTTTTGATTGTCCCCCGGGAGCTGTAAGCTCTGGGGGGACACTTGGCTGCCCGAGGTCCCCGGGCTCCCTCAGCTTAGGGAGCGGGAGGGCCCTCTGCATTCTGACCGGATCCTCCTGCAATGGGCCCTGCGACGCTCGGCAGGAGCGCTGGCCCCTGTGACGGAGGGACAGTAGCCTTTGGCTCTCTAACAAGATCAGGGAGCGGGCTCTTCAAACTGGCTAAATTGATGTCCCACACTAGACCCTGTGAATAAATAACTAGGGAAGCCTCTTGTTGGCCTGAAGGTAATCTCTACAAACTCTGTTTTAACAATTGTCTCTCAACAGGCCGCGCACGTGCCTGTGGGCAAGAGCCGGGCCAGAGGACGGGGACAGGGTCTCAGAGTGATGAGACGCTGTCCCGGCTGCCTCTCGGAGCAGAACTGATTGGATAAAAATCTACTACACGAGAGTCGTCCTGGGCTTGTTTCCCAGCCCTGCTGGTGTCTGGGGAGATTGAAGGTCTATTCCCGTGGAACCTGGAAGATGCTCTGATTTTCTGGAGACAGGCAGTGGGCTGGCATAGGGGAGGGGCTCTGAGCTTGAAAATAAGAAGTCAGGTGGGCTGGCAGCCCTGGGCCATTCCGACCACCAACATTCACCCGGGGTAACACGAGACCCTTTCCACACAACTGGAGCACAAGGGGAATTTATCCATTCGCCACACTAAAAACTTCAAGGACTGCAGGCATGGCTTGCTCAGGGGGCTAAGGTTAACAAAATCTCATTCCCTTGCCTTTAGATTGACAGGCAAATCACCACATTAGCTTAATTTCTTTCTTTCTTTTTAAAATTTCTTCCATCATGTTCAAAGCTCAGCTGGTGTGTCCTTAGAACTTGATTCCCTGTGACAGAATATGCACCCCCCCCCTCCCCGCCAAGTCTCAGCAAGAAGACGTTCACTGGGCACTGACCCTGCTCAGGTCACGCACCTATCTGGGAGAGGAGCCCACGGATCTGAGCGTGGACCAACTTGGACTTTGCTTATGTGGCTTCCCTTGTAGTTCAGGCAAGTGGGGGAAGAACATCGTGACCGCCAGAACCGTGGACGGAACCAGGGGAGGCTGATCCACCCAGAGCTCCTCCTGGGGGCACGTGGACCAGCCGCGGTCTGATTAGAGCAAGCCCGGCCTCTCCTCCCGGCCTCTCCTCCCGGCCTCTCCCACCCCACCCAGGCAGCCCTGGGGAAGGCACGGGTTGGCCTCTGCACCCCAAGGACGGCAGATCAGCTCGGAGCTCTAGGTCCTGTCTGGGAGCCCCTGGTCTGGCTCTTTGTCTGCCCTGCGGCCGCTCCTGCCTGCAACAGGAAATCAGCCCCGGGGTGTGAGGAGGATCTCTCCTGGAGAGGGCCCCCTGCTCAGCCCTGGGCACCCCAACACCACGGAGGTCCTGCCTTCCTCCGCCCAGTTATCAGAAAAGCCCACGCGGACAGTGTTTTATCTCCCCATTATCTTGTCTGCCAGTTGGGAAGTGCCTCTCTCACTGGGTGCAGTGGCCCACACCAGGAATCCCAGCGCTCAGGAGGCTGAGGCAGGAGGATCACAAGTTTAAAGCCAGCCTCAGCAACTGGGCGAGGCCCCAAGCAACTTAGTGAGACCCTGTCTCTAAATAAAAAATCAAAAGGGCTGGGGATGGGGCTCAGGGGTTAAGCACCCCCAGGGGTGCTCAATCTCCAGTATCAAAAAAAAAGTGCCCCTTGCCCCTCACAAGGTTGGCACACGGAACATTCACAGAAAAGGAGGACAATATGCAGCAGTGGGGCCCAGGGAGAGCAAGAGGGTGCCAGTTAAGGATGACACCGGCATCTATTAGATTGGCCAATAGCCATAAATGGAGCACATGCCCTGTCGGTGAGGCTGTGAACAGATTCATTCATTCTGGTGGGACTGCAAACTGCAGATGTAGGCATCTATCCTACTCAGCAATCCTACTTAAAGGACTCTATTCCAACAAGTTGTGAAAAATATGAATGCACACATGCACAAGGCTACTTATGGTGGCAACATCTGTATCAGTAAAAGAATAAAAAAAGCCCAAATGTCCATCAATAGACCAGCTGAATAAAGTATGGAATGGCTACACTGTGGAGTACTACACAACTGTGAAAAAGCAACATGGACTGTGACCGGTCCTTGTTATTTGTGGATGCCCTAGTTGTAAATTCACCTACCACCTCAAATTTATTTGTAACCTGAAGTCAACACTGATGTTTCACAGTCCTTGACAGACATGCACACACACAGAGTCACACACAAAAAAATGAGCCTCCCAGTGTGTGTGTTGCAGGCTGAGGTCAAACAAGGGGGTGTCTGTGTCTTCTTGTTTCACTTCCCACACCATAAATCCAGGTAGACACCTAAGACCTTCTCAGTCTATCGAGTGACACTTTTTTCCCTTTTTTTTTTTTTTTGCATTTTGAGCTTTCTGATGGTGATTTAACTGTCTAAAATGTGCCCTGGGACCAAAGTGCTGTCTAGAGCTTCTAAGCACAGAGAGGCCGAGATGTGCCTCCCAGAGAGACAACCCTGCAGGGTACATTCACAAAGGCCCGCGTTCAGTGCCCATGAATCAAATTCACACACACTCACAAACTCATATATATAACACATTCATACGTACAACCTTTATTTAATGCGCTAACACATTAACAGTTAAGTATCTGAACATCGTATTTGTATATTTTAAATATATTTTAATATATCTTACATATTAAACATATTTTATATTCTAATATATTTTAGTATGTATTAATCCATCTATTTTAATATATTTTAGTATCTATGAAATATATCAAATATATATATAAGGTGATTTAAAATAGAAACACACATAAAACAGGTCATGCCTCAATTGGTTGGTGACCATGTGACCAGAGGCCCAGGGGACTCTCACCGTCTACTTCCCCAAGGACACTGCTCCGGGATTTACTAGCCCAGTGTTGGCGGGGACTTTGTAGGACACGGTCACCAGGTAGGATGAACCTGCCTGTAGCTCCGTGGGTCACACGGGTGTGATCTCTAGACACGTGGCCGAGTAACAAAGTAAGGTGACAAATACTGGCTGACACAGGCTCCTGTTCACGTAGGGAGCAGGAGGGAAAAGACGTGTGGCGGGGGAGAGGGAGGGAGGGGGCTAGAGGGAGGGAGGGGGAGAGAGAGAGAGAGGAGAGAGAGAGAGAGAGAGAGAGAGAGAGAGAGAGAGATTATGAGAGCTATCAGTAGTACTCATTCCTAGGTAAACTTGTAGGCCAGGGGATAGTATTATTATTATTATTATTATTATTTTTTTTTTTTTAA